TAGTCTACCTTCTCCAGGATAGGGCTGTGTCCTTTTTCTCTTCCTTGCAGAAAGATGCTGATGCTTGGGAGGTCCCAGAGACGACCCTACCACTGGGAAAGAGTTGCAGAGTCCTCCTTGTCTGAGGACACTTGGTTGTAGTAGCAGCTTCAATGGGGAAAGAGTTTGCCCTTGTGCAGCAGGATATAGGTAGACAGTTTGTGTTTTTGATGCCCTTGAGCTTGGACTCCAAGCAAGCTGAACACAGTTCATCCTTCTGCAGGGACTTAATTAACCCACTGATTTTTGCCATTTCAATTAGTCAGCCAGTTTAACCTGCCCCCCCCCCCCCCCAGTACTTTGAAATTACTCTTTCCAGAAGATATGTGATCATGCTGGCGCTGGATGTCAGGGAGGCCAGGCCTCCTTTGAAGGCAGCAGCTCCTGCCCCCTGCAGTCCTTGCTCTGGAAAACACTTTAAACTCCCCAGCCCACTCCCCACTGCTGGAAGGCCTCTGTGGAGGGGCTGTGTGTTGTTAGCTGGGTTTTGATTTCAGTACTGGAGTTGATAAGATGAGATAAACCCCAGGCTCACTAAGGCTGTGGAAATTAAACAGAGATGATATCAAAGTTCCCCTGAGTTTTCAGCGTGCTGCAGGCACTTCGCTGGGGCTGGAGGCAGCCTTTGATTCTGAAACAATGAGCAGCATCAGTTAAACCCAGAACTGCTGACTTTTAGGGATTATGTGCATGGTTGTGGTAATTCTTTGATCAGCTACAAGGGAGCAGTGTAGCGTCTGCCCACTACACTGTGAAGGGGCACCGTAGTTAAAGCTCATTTCCCTGTGAGCCTGGGATGACAGTGTTGTTGAGGTGCCACGCTGTGGGGGGGGCCAAACCTCCTCCTGGCCATCTTCCTTTGTAAACACATCTAGCATGGTGTGGAGGGGGAAGACCCCCCTCGCTTGAAAGACCAGACTCAACTCACCTTGTGCTGTGCGTGCACACACTCTTGCCTTGCTCTCTTGTCTCAGAGAGTTCTCTCAGGGAAACAGGAACAGATGCCTGGAGCAGGGCTCTGCAGCCCTCAGCCTGGGAATGATCCGACAGACACCGTGTGCCCCCACTCAAGAGAAGTCACTGGGGACGATATCTGATGGCTTGGAAGGTTACTGGTGGAGAAGAGCTCAAGGTCACTGTCACCACGTGCCCAACACTGAACTTCCTTACCTGGCCTGTGTTGAGAACCCACTAGGTTTCAGATTGGCTCAGTATCTGCCATCTAGTCACCCAAATAGGGGGGCACTCTGACTTTCCCTGTGGACACCTTTCTGTGGCTGTAGCTGGACGGCACAGGCTTGCCTCTGGCTCCCTTTCTCCAGGTTAGCCATGCTGCTGTGCTTGGTAATGGAGCCCCTGTGTGCTGTGGATCCTGCCCGCACTAGGCCATAGATCAACCCATTCCCCCGTGCCGAGCTCAGGTCTCCCTCATTAGGCCTGAATTTACCTCTGTCCTACACAAACATGGCCTTAGCTCATTTTTATTGTTGTAAATTATTTATGAGGGGAATGTTGAATCTCGAAACTGAGGTGTGAGGAAAATTAATCCCAGGTTACTTTTATCTTTCTGTACTTTCTTCCCCTTTGCTTGACTTATTGAGCTATGGCCAGAGAAAGAAGCGCTTTGGCATTTTAAAATATAATTAGTGTTGAGACTGCTTTCCCTTTCGGGCAGGATGTTGGTCTCTGTGCAGTGAAACAGCACAGGCTAGACTGAGGAGGATGCGCAGCTGCCGGCTGCCGGGCTATGGGAACAAGCCTCAGTTTTCCCTTATTCAGAATAAGGGGGACAAGAGTTGCTGCAGGGAGGCCTTTTGTATTTACCCTGTCACTTCCTGCCTGGCAGGTCAGTGATGTTCTTAAATACATGCTCCCTTGCTCTCCGGCTATTCGGCTCACATTCGTGGCCCCTCTTCTTCCTGTCAGAGGCCTGGCCCGCGACCCTGGTGGCAGGGTGCTGTTCTGCTCCTGTGCCTTCCCTTCTGGCGGGGGCTCCGAGCAGCCTGAGGAAACTCGGAGTGCACCAGGTTGATAAATGGCCTTTCGTTAGGAGGTCAATCGAAGTGACGGCAGAGATGCTGTTAAAAGTAATTTGCAGTCAGAAATATGTAATTCAGGGCAAGCCACTCTGAGCGATGGCCTCTGCCATGGATATCTTGGGCGTTTCTCATTAAGAGGCCCCGTGGCTGGTGGTGGCCATGCCCCACCGCCAAGTAGAACAGCCCCTGCAACAGCCATTTGTCTCCGAGGCACAAAGACTGTCCTGATCTCCAGGGCACAGGAACTCGGCAACCAGGGGAGAGAGGCGGGGGAGGGGGGGGCATGGAGATGACTGCTGCCCTGGCCAGACCTGCTGTGGGCTGGGCAGGCTGGGCTCCTGCGCTTTGAGGCCCAGCTCTTTGTCCGCTTTAGTTGGAGGCCGTCTGCAGCCATTTTGGAAACTGCTGCTGGGTGCCTCCCCAGGTGCATTGTGGGAGCAGTATTTCCCCTTGCAAGTACACTCGTCTGCCTGCAATTGGCAGTATGTGTCAAATAAGAGAACCCCTGTAGTCGTGCCTTGTGGAGGGCTTTGCCACTCCAGACTGTGCATCTCCCAGCCAATGAGATCTTCCTTGTGTGCCCCCTAATCTCTGTCTCCCTCCCCTTTTCCATCCTTCTCCTTCCTTTCATTTCTTTTTCTCGTTTTCATTCTCTGTCCCTCTTTCTCTTTTATAGTAAAGACAGTAGTATTTAAATTTTTTTGTTTCACATGTTTTTTATTAAATTCACAGCATGATATTTAACACTGGCAGGATTCGTACATTCTGCTAATGAGTTGCTAATTGCAAAGCATTTTTGGTAACCGACAGCAGGTACCAATATTTTGCAAACTGCAGCCTTGTGGTTTTTATGTTCCCCATAATACAGGATTTTTCAGGGGCAGAGGCATTTTGTTTAGTGATTTGCTCTGGATTGGGCAGGTGCAGGTATTTAACCCTAAACCCATATTGGGGTCACACATGTGGAATCACTTGGTAAATATTTGCTTAATACCTACTGGGTGTAAGCGCACTAAGCCCCGCGCTGTTAGAGATGAAACTTGCTAGACAATGAAAATTGGAACTGGGAAAGAATATGGTGGTGTGGCATGTCTCCACCTTCTGCCCTCGGCTGTTGGAAGCTGGTTTTTGGTATAAGCCAATAAAATATAACTCTGTAACTCGGCTAAGAAGGTAGGGGTGCCAGGCACTGCCAAACCCTCTCGAGAAACAAGTTTGTTTCTGGGGTGTTTTGTGGGTTCTGCTGACTAAATGGGTGACCTGCGTAGTATTTTGGTGGTTCCTGTGGGGCAGGCTCACTTGGGGTGGCCAGTGCCATCTGCCTCCTGCTGCCTCCTTAGGCAGGATGTTTGGTTTGCTTTTGAAACTGTAGCTAGTGTTGAGAGCACTGCAGCCAGTGGGACTTAATTGCTGTAGGGTGAGGTGGGATTTATTTGTTCTTTTCCCACCGCCCGCCCAGTAAAAGTCCTGCATCAGGTGTTGCTCTTTATATTTGGTTTCCGGGGCAGGGACACTGAGCCACGCCCGCTGCTCTCCACGCTGCACCAGCCTCCTCAGCTGGTCCTACGCGGAAGCAGCGAGCAGCAGAGTAGTAATTCCAGATCCATTCTTTTCATCCAAGTGACCAGTGAGAATTAGGATTGCTTCTGACCCAGGGGCGGCTGAACTAGACAAAGAAATGGGCCAGACCTCTAGTACGTGGTGCCTCCTAGTTCTGGCCCAAGCCAGGCCCCATGTGTTCTTAAGCCTTCCAGTCCACATGCTTTTCTTCTGGGCACCTACTGTGTGCCATGGGCCCATTTATATCCTTCTGCACCTACTGTGTGTCATGGTCCTCTCCGGGCCCTTCTTTTATATCCTTCTGGGCACCTACTGTGTGTCATGGTCCTCTCCGGGCCCTTCTTTTATATCCTTTTGAGCACCTACTGTGTGTCATGGTCCTCTCCGGACCCTTTTATATCCTTCTGCACCTACTGTGTGTCATGAGCTCTCCGGGTCCTTTTATATCCTTCTGGGCACCTACTGTGTGTCATGGAGCTCTCCGGGTCCTTCTTTTATATCCTTCTGCACCTACTGTGTGTCATGGTCCTCTCCCGGCCCTTCTTTTATATCCTTCTGCACCTACTGTGTGTCATGGTCCTCCCCCAGCCCTTCTTTTATATCCTTCTGCACCTATTGTGTGTCATGGTTCTCTCCTGGCCCTTCTTTTGTATCCTTTCTCTTAGTTTTTTTCAACAGCTGGGGAGTGGATCAAGACCTCATTTTACAGTTGAGGAAAAGCAGGGGCTCCCAAGGTTTAACTTCTTGTTTAGACACTAACTTGTAAATACGGAGTCCAGAGCCCCATGCCCCAAATGCCTTCTGTGGTTTTGGGGCTCGTTAAGTTGTCTACTAAATGTCTAGTTGTCTGGATAGGCTGTACGTTTGGAAGCCTAGCCCCATATGGGGGCACTTGAGACTTTGCTAGGGGTAGCTCGTCCAGTATTGGTCCCTGTTCAGAAATCAGACAGTTGGGAGTAGAATTAGGAATAATGTGGGGTTGGGCAGGTAGCTCAGTGGGTAACATGCTTGTCTGTCCTACATAAAGCCCTGGGTTCCATTCTGAGTGCCGTATAAAACTAGATGTACATACCTGTAATATGAGCACTTGGGAGGAGACAGGAGTTCAAGACCGGCCTGGACTATAAGGTAATGTACTTTGGGGTTTGAATTGAAATTACCTCCTGGGAGTAGATGGGAGCCCTCAGCATTCCACGATAACAGCTTGAGGTGTGGTGAGTGAATTCTTAATCTGAGTTCAGGGTCAGATAAGGCCCTGGTGAGGAATGTAGACAGCTGCAGGATTCTGTCTACGAGGCTGCCCTCAGTCATGTTAAATGCCGAGTTTGAATTTTTTGCTCTCTGTTTCCTTTTCCAAACCAGGACCAAGCCACCATGCCTGAAGTCAAAGAGCTCTCAGAAGCCTTACCAGAGACGCCGATGGACCCCATCACAGGAGTGGGGGTGGTGGCTTCCCGGAACCGAGCCCCGACAGGCTATGATGTGGTAAGACACAGAGCTAGCTTGTCGGCTCTGCTCTCTGTCTAAGAACCTGTCCCTGGGTGGAAGAACTAGAGTGACCAGAAGAGGAAAGGCACAGCCAGAGGAGGCAGCCATGAGTGCGGGCATGATTTCCTGACCTTGGCCATAACTGGCTTTGGGTTATTTTTCACCCTTTTATTAGACCCGTTGATGTCTAAAGTCACTTCTCGTTTTGATGCTTCATGAAAAGGATTTAGAGAAGACCTTGGGGTTGTCTTGTATTATCCCAGCAGTGTGAATGTTCTGAGCATGTTGTCCTTGGCCATAGCTGGAGCCTGTGCAGGGCTCCCCATTGTTGGGGCCAATAATCAGGTAACTCTTTGTCATGGGGCTGTCCTGTGCCTCAGAGTCTATGTGCAACACCCTTGACCTCTACTTAGTTGAGGTGAAGAACACCCCAGATGTTTCTGGATGTTCCCCGGGGAAGTGTGGTGAGCAAAATCAGTCCCCACTGAGAACCTCTTTGGTCAGTCTACCTCAGGTCCTCGCTGCAAAAAGACGAACCCATTAAAAACAACAACAAAGAAAACCCAGGAAAGCAAAAACTCCCCTTCCCGAGTGAGTGAGACGCTCGGGATGAGAGCAGGTGCCTTTATGAGAGCAGGTGCCTTTTTTTTTTTTTTTGACAAAGATTTGCATCTGGCCTGTCCCCTGTCTTCAAAGCCCAGTTAGAATGTCTGTCTTTCCATAAAGTAGAATCATTAGGTATGGCTTTGTCCCTTAGAACTCCTGGGGAAGCTAATCAAAATGCCCCTGATGGGAGAAGCCGAAGTGTGTTTTGATGAATTGGGTCTGAGATACACATGGTGCATCAGGCAGGGCTGGGGGCTCCCGGACTGCTGGTGGACCTTCCAGGCCCACTACGTGGATTGCAGGAGGCTCAAGCTCCGGGCCCGGGTCTCACATCTTCCTGCTCTTCTCTGTCTATCAGTATCTGTAGCATTCTGGCTGCCCCTTTGGGGTCACTCAGACCACTTGGCTAGTGGGCGCCAGATGACCTTCGGTAGTTTGGCTTTCTGGAAGTCTCCTGAAGGCTGACAGGGGCACAATCTATCCCTGTCATTTTCTTCTAACATCTAGCTCAGGGCAGGAGAGCATGGTGTCAAATGAGTGAAATTAATAAGCACATTTCACCATCGTGTCGCACCATGCATTTTAGTGGAAGGTGAGCAGGGCAAGAGGCTGTGCTGGGGCGCATGTAATTACCCAGGCTGCACGCCCTAGGCTCCTCTAAGAGCTCTTTCCGGGAGAGGGGCGTATTCCTCTCTTCTCTTGCCTTTGGCCTCTTATGAGATAAACATCTCATTCCCAAGAGCCGTAAGTTCAAGGGGGAAAGGTGGAGAGGGCAGGGTGAGAAGAGGCACTTCCCGTTCTTTCATCTGGAGTTCCATATTAAGTCAACAGAAGTGCAGGAATGTTTTGGGAAGGCTCCAAGAACTGACCAGAGGATGAGTAAGCCTGTGGCTGCTGGAGGCTAGACCACTCTCTAGGATTAACCCCTTCCTTCCCTCACACAGTGAGACTCTGACCAGCTTCCTGCTCTTAGTCACCAGATGCTGCTGGCCTCTGGCTGCAGGCTCTCATAGAAAGGCTTTCTAGGTATTGCTGTTGCTTGAGGCTAAAAATGTCAGTTCATTTATAGAAATGTAATTTAATGACTTCCTTTCTCTCTGGATGGACCTGGGAACTGAAGATCATTTATTAACTGTCCCCATTCATTGTCCCCATTTGTGCAGTCTTCTACAAACAGCCTCCTGTTTCTGTCACATGCCCAGGTCTCGGAGGGACAGGCTAATGGAACCTGTCCTCAGAGATTGGGGTGGGTCTCAAGAAAGTGTAGAAAAGGTTCAGAAGCAAGACTGGGTGCAGAGTGAGAGGGAAGTGGGGTGAGAAGACTCAGTGTGGGTGCCTCTGAGGAAGAGTTGGGGAGGTGGGAGTGAGGCCTGATGTGACATCAGGAGCCGGCAGGTGTCAAGCTGGCCTGGGCACAAACGGGAAAGATTCCAGCTGAGAGAGGGTGCAAGTGGTCAGGGCCTGTCTGACATCCAACTGTCAGAGAATGGTTGGGGGCCATTTCCGATGTTTGGCTCTCACTTCTTCCTGCTGCTGTGTGCTGGGAAGCCGGCCTTGGTGGTGGCCTCCGTACAGTGTGTGAGTTGCCCACCCTCCCTTCCTTCCTCTCTCCCCCTTCTCATCTCCCTTCCTTTCAGTAATGTTGAAACTAGTTAGGCAACAAAACATTTCTTCCAAACTGCTGGTCCTGCATAATTTCTAGGTGCCCAGTATGTCCCAGGCGTCTTTAGACTCACCCAAGCTGCCAGTGTTTGAAGCATTGGACGGAAGTAGGGTGCTAGGGTTACTCTGGGGCAGAACGGCTCTCCTCTGGGCAGTGGCTGGGTGATTTAGGCATCAAAAGGACACACAGGCTTAAAATTGGAAACTTGCAAATGAGAGGCCAGTTGTCACTCACCAAAGCAGAAACATAAAAATAAAATGAAAGAAAGAAAGCCCACAAAACACAAAACTCTCTGTTCAGCACTGAAGCGGGATCAAGAAGGCTTGTGTGTTTCCAGAATGCTCAAGGACTGAAAACCCTCCAGAGGAGGGGAGCCAGCGCTTGCCTGAAGCCTGTGGTAGACATCAAGTGGAATACGTGAGCCACAGCTGTCCCCCTGGACTGACCGGAGCTGCCGCTCAAATCTCTAGAAAGGCCAGGTTGTGGGAGGAGGCCCTGTGAGGGCAGGAGACCTCCAATCCACAGGTGCTCCTCCTCCTGGGCCACACCTGTAGCAGGTGGGCGATAAGGGACAGCTTACCTCTGTCCCCCTCAGTGTCACCCTGCTGGCAAGGGGCTGTTCCTGAGCAAAGAAATCAGGGCTCCCACAGCTTCTCTCACAGGCTGGTTGCTTTTCAGAGCTGAGCTTGTTTTGATGAAGGCACGGGTATCCCTCTTTTGTTTTGGTAGAAAATACTTTAAACCAAGTTTTATTGAAAATGTGGAAAGAGGTTTCCTGTGGCTTGAATCTGGGCCACTCCTGTGAACTGTCTGGGGACAGACCTGTTCCTGAGAAGGGGACACACTTGACACTGGGTGTCGGGAGTACAGAGGCCAGCAAGGCTGCCTCAGGAAGTCTGTCAGAAACTGTGGCTTCCTGTGGCTGCGGGGGAGGAGCTGTCTTCTCTTTTGGCCTCTCCTACCCCTATCACCCCCCCCCCCCCCCCCCCCCCCCCCGCCCCAGCTTGTCGTGCAATTCCAGGGTCGATCAAAGGCTCACTCAGACAGTTGTGTGTGTGGAGGATGGACAGTGTCTTGATACTTCCTTCTGCTCACAGAAATATCTGCTTTACTTTGCTCAGACTTGCAAAAAACAAACCTCAATTATTTGGCTCGGCGGAGAAATTAATTTTTCTTTTTTAAATTGAAATTTAAGTTTTGAGGTAATTATGGATTTATATGCACTTTAAGAACAAATGCGACCACTCTCAGCTTGCCAGGGGGCACAGGTGTGGTGTGTACTTCTGCCCGTGGTGTTTGGAAACGCCAGCGTGTTTCAGAACCAGGCCCCTGAGTCTAATGAAATGATCTGTGATCAGTGATTAGGAGCAGGTTGCTCTTGAAAAGATGGTTTTCGGCTCGTGGTTCTCAAGAGGAACAAGCATGTCCTACTGCTAGGCAGAGCCAGGTGGGAGGGGCCTGGAGAGCAAAGGCAGAATGAGTAAGGGCCTTGGTGCAGCCTCTGTGGGCAAGGCAGAGGCGGGTAAGCAGACTGCAGCCCATCTAGTGTAAACGGTTGTGGGTTTTGTGCCACAGGTTTTGTCATCTTGACATAAACCAGAGTCATCTGGAAGAGGGACCCTCAACTGAGGAATTGCCTCCATCAGACTGGCCTGTGGGACATTTCCTCTTTCTTTTTTGTTTTTAAAGGTTTATTTATTATTTTTGTCCCTATGTATGTAGAAAAGACTGAATGAATTTCTGTGCTGTTGGTGGAGAGCAGAGACATCCTGAGTTACAGGGGTTGTGAGTTCCCTGTGTGTGAGTGCTGGGCAGTGAGCCTGAGTCCTTGACAGGATCATTGCAAAGTGCTCTTAACCCCTGAGCATTCTTTCTATTCTGTAGGGGCATATTTTCTCTCTCTCTCTCTCTCTCTCTCTCTCTCTCTCTCTCTCTCTCTCTCTCTCTAGTGCATGTGTATGGGCATTTTGCCTACATGCATGTCTGTGTACCAGGAGGCCAGAGGATGGTGTTGGATCCCCTAGAGCTGGAGTTCCAGATGGTTCTGAACCATCATGTGGGTGCTGGTAATTGAATCTAGAGTCTTCTAGAAGAACAGCCCCCAGGCTCTTAATCACCGAGCCACATCTATCAAGCCCCTGTGGGGCATTTTCTTGATTAATGATTGATGTGAGAAGGCTAAGCCCTCTGTGGGACATGCCACCCTGGGGAGGTGGTCCTGGGTTCTGTTAGAAAACAGGCTGAACAAGCAGTGGCGAGCAAGCCAGTAAGCTGCCTTACTCCTTGGTCCTTGCTTCAGTTCCTGCCTCCAGGTTAACTTAAATTAACCCATATACCTTTTACCTCTGGACTTTTATCTTTCTCTATTTCTGTATATCTTACTTTCCTTCTTTCTCCGTGGCTGCTGTGTAGCTGAGTGGCTAGCCCCTGATGCCCTCCTCTCCTTGTTCTCTTGCTCCTCTTATTCCTCGATTCTCCTATTTATCTTTTCTGCCTGCCAGCCCCGCCTCTCCTTGCTCCTGCCTCACTATTGGCCTTTCATCTCTTTATTAGACCATCAGCTGTTTAGACAGGCAAAGAATCACAGCTTCACAGAGTTAAACAAAGGCAGCATAAACAAAACCAACACACCTTCATTAGCCACACAGTGTTCTTGAGTGTTTCCTGCATGTGCACTTCATGCTGTGCTACATAGCGTCATGTTTACCACAACAGCACATGTGATCAA